AACTGAAATCAAATTTGATAACTATTCAAAATATTTAAATTCAAAATATTAATAAAAACACAAAATTGTACTAAAATATGAGATGATATTCATTTTGAGCTAATGAATAGCTAATGAACATAACCCCACAAATTATATGGCTACTCACCAAATAAATAACTACGTGGACATGAAATGTTGATGTGAAATTATTATATTATCTATTACCTGTATATATATATATATATATATATATATATATATTGTTTATATGTTAATATGTTAATATCTGGTTTGTGTTGATACCAGTTAATATTTCAAAATATCTGACAGCTGAAATCCTTGATTGACCAATCATAAAACAGGTATTCCAGACACCAGCTGTATTGTCTGAAGCAGAAATGGTGTGCGACAGGTTAATCTTGAACATTTTAATTTTATTTAATTTTATTTTATTTTATTTTATTTTAGTTTAGTTTAGTTTAGTTTAGTTTAGTTTAGTTTAGTGTTTTAGTGTCATTTATTTTATTTATGAATTCCTCATGATTGGCTTTAATTTTTAAAATTTAATTTTCTGTGTAGTTTTCATTGCACTATGGCAGCAGTACGACAGATGGTATAAAATCTGCTCGGTGCATGATCTACATTATTTTCCCTATTTGTGGATTTTGTTGATCAGATCTTTAAATATCCCAGTCCAGAATATAATTTAATTCTTAAACTCTGTCCTATATGGATTTAAACACTGATTATATTCTGGTTCTCTGTATATGCCCACGTAAATACACACACACACACACAAAACATACACATTCCCTCTTCAACATAATACTGAAATATGTAGTAACCAGATGAACTTTACCACCTCATTTGGCATATAGCCTGAACAACTGTCAGCCCTTTTGTTTTGAGGAACAGGATAAGACAGCATCACCTTATTGGGTTCAGAAGGATAACTCCAAATGCCAGAGTATCAACACAGAGAGGTCACAACAACAGCGAGGGATTTGATGGCCTGCACACCAAACTGCCCCTTTGGTGACATCATTCAGCGTACAGTGGATTTGGTGGGCTATTTTTACCAGCCTGAGATGTGTTGCTGAAAAAGCAAGTTGCAGTTTGACTAATGCGGGTGGTGCAATTTTGTAGGCTTGCAGTTGTGTTTTAAAGAAACAGTTGACCAATACTTTTTACTAATCTTAATTGTTTTTTCAAACCTATTTGCTGTTAATTTATTTCAGTGGAGCACAAAAGTAGTATTTACACCCTGATACAAAGCACTTATACAAAACACTTGCATGATTTGTAAACTAAGACATTTAGGGCCAGATTTACTAAACTAGCGCGAGAGCAGAATTCCGAAACAGCGTCGATGGGCGTGGAAATTTCTGCAGGTGATTTAGTGACAGCACACAAATTAAAGAACACAGACGTAACATCTCATTTACATATCGACCAACGCAATATACCAAGCACAGCACAAATTAGCATAGTCGCAAATAAGCAGAGCCAATGCTCATCAGGTGTCGGTGATCTACTTACGACACAGGCGCAAAATAGTTTAAGACATGGTTTTATAGCCGTTAAATAATGGCGCAAATACCAGTAATTTGATGAGCGCAAACGTTAGTAAATCGTGTTGCGTGCTCCGTTTTAATACTCTCCTCCCATAAATTTTGCGTCTGAAAGGAAAACTCCTACAAATAAATATATAATTAGGTCAGGCGCAAAAATAACTGTCCAACGCTAATTCTTCACTGACCGTGCTATTTTAATGCCAAAAGACGGTTTGCGCTGGTGCAAGCTGTTAGTAAATCTGGCCCTTATTGTTTGCATCACATAACCAGCCACATATGTATGGCTTTTCCAAGACAGTAAACTTGCTCGGTAGCCCACCTGGTATGAGTTCAGTGAAACACACCAAACAGCTCACAGACTAAAGCTAAAATGACATGGTTGCTTTAGCAAATGTGTTTATCTCACTTTTTTCTTTTATAGTTACATTTTTAATTTTGAGTTGCACTGATTTCAGAGCCAGAGAATAACTTTACATATAAATAACTTTACATAGGACATATTATACTGTATGTACTTATGTATGTATGTCTTAATCAGAATGAAACATGGGTTCATGTCATGGCAAATCTATCGTTTTGGAAAAATTTAACAATGTATGGGTGAGTAAACGTTTTTTTTTCTACACTTGAAGTCAAGATGTGAAGCAAAATGTTCTGTGAACGTATTTTTATTTTCAGCTTCAACAGACATCTACAGTAAATTATTTGGCAAATAACAATGTTTTGGCAATTAACGTTGCAATGAACAGTTCTATACAGTACACCCTCGAGTTCCTCAGCACAATAGGAATGTGGGTCATTTCGCATTCGAGTCCATAATGCATAGAGGAGATATCATACTCCATGCCGGCGTCAGTGCGACCAGCCTACATGTGTGAGTCAGCAGGGGCTCTGAGTCAGACACCGCTAACACACTCATAATGCAAAGGCTGTTTTAAAGGGTACCAAGAGCTCACAGCCAACATTTGTGCACTGAAGATAAAGATACAGAGGTGAAGAGAGAGAGAGAGAGAGAGAGAGACCACAAATCAATACAAGTCAGTAATTATGCTCAGTAAGTAAATAAGCAATCTCTGATTCACTTTGTACAGCAAGATGAAACCATAAACAGTTCATTCTTTTTTTCACAGTTCACATTTTTTGTCACAATACATCTTTGTACTGTCATCAGTTCAATAAATCACACGTGAGAATGAGAGAGCTTTTAGGTTTTAAAGTTTTTCCAGTCCAACAGTGTACAGAAGACTAGTTCCTAATCCCAAAAAGATACGGATGTTCATTGTGGAAACCGATTTAGGGACCGAAAATGGCCTCTCTGTAACACTGCCATCTTTGTCTTCAGCAGGAGACTTTTCTTCCTCTGTGCAAAGGCTCAGAAAGGGCTTATTTTGTCCGTCTCATTTCAGCACTTCATCCTCGCGGCATTCGCTACAGGTTTGAAATCCTCCAACAATACAGCTATTTACAATGCATAAAGAACATTCACGGCAAACCGATTATCTTCGACAAACTGATCTAAGACGTGTAGTGGAGCTTGTGTTACTACACGTCATCTCGATATTCATCAGAGTTCATATAAAAAGTCTGTCTCTTTGTGCACATTTGAGTAATATACAGATGGACATGGTTAAAATAGCACACTTTTTTTCAAAACTGATGGTCCCTCATGAATACAAAAGTTAAAAACACAGGCATGAATTATTCAACCGCTGATGACGGTGTTACTGTTCATAAAGTATGCTCAATTTGACAGATACTGAAACACAACAATAACTCACAATCATGTGTGCTTCAGACATAAAAACAACAAGAATATATGTGATTCATGACTTGTGAGTGCCTGGGCCTGGAAATGATGGATAATTCTTATAAACAAAATCTTTACCACAAATATCAATTAAAGTGTGCTTTTTCATTTTAGCAGAACAAAAATCAATGTCTTAATTGCTTTTGTCTTGGTTTCCAGTAAAAAAAAAAAGTAAACATCCTTAAAAAAAGTTATTTGTGACCCTGGACCACAAAACCAGTCATAAGGGTCAATTTTTCAAAATTGAGATTTATACATCATATGAAAGCTGAATAAATAAGCTTTCCATTGATATATGGTGTTTTTAGGATAGGACAATATTTGGCCGAGATACAACTATTTGAAAATCTGGAATCTGAGGGTGCAAATAATCAAAATATTGAGAAAATCGCCTTTAAAGTTGTCCATATAAAGTTCTTAGCAAAGCATATTACCAATCAAAAATTAAGTTTTGATATATTTATGGTAGGAAATTTACTAAATATCTTCATGGAACATGATCTTTACTTAATATCCTAATGACTTGTTGGCATAAAAGAAAAATTGATATTTTTGACCCATGCAATGTATTTTTGGCTATTGCTACAAATATACCCCAGCGATTTAAGACTGGTTTTGTGGTCCAGGGTCACATTTTTTCTTGAGGTCAGAGCTGGGTAGATTACTTACAAATTGTAGTCCACTACTGATTACAAATTACATGAGAAATATTGTAGTTTGTAACATAATCCAGATTACATATATTATGTAAATTAGTCTGACTACTTTTAGAATTACTTTTAGATTGCTTTTGATCTAATTTATCACATAGACTTTAATGGGATTATTGTGTACCATACTGATATAAAGTCACAACAAAAACAAAGAGAAAGAAAATATATTCCATTCTTTGTTATCAACATCAAGAAATGCATTAAACATTACATTACAGTGAATAATGTGTAATCATGTAATCCATAAAAAGTAACCGTAATCTGATTATGAGCATTTTAAAACATAATATAATCTAATTACAAGTACTTAATTTTTGGAATCTGATTGAGTAATCCAGATTACATGTAATCAGTTACTACCCAGCACTGCTTGAGGTACATAATTGTTTATGATAATAAGACCTGTTTCACTGAAAATATAATCGTTTTTTAATCTACCAAATGCATTCCATTAGCTGAAACAGTAGTGCATGCTGATTGCAATGACAAAGCCAGGGATAAAATGTATACCTTAAATTCATGTAAAATACATCAATATAAATAAATGCACTTTTTTTGTTACCCATTGGCTTGTTTACGTGCTTGCTTATTTATTTATTTAATTCTTTTTCAATTAATTAATTATTTTTATTATTATTATTTAATTTGCTTTAATGATAAAGCTAGCAAAATTCAGATAAGTTTATGCTTAAAATGAGGAAAAATATATTTTGGAACATTGTTTTTTTTTCTTAATTTAAAGGTACAGTTCGCCCCAAAATGTAAAATTCGAAAGACATGAGGGTGAATAAATTAAGACAGAATTTTAATTATTGGGTGAACAAAACATTAACTTCTCAAAATGATGGTTTACGCCTTGAAACTGATATTCTGCCATAGAATGAAAAAATAAATTATCTCACAAATATGACTTTTTTTCCCTTGCAATTACAAGTTTATATCTTACAGTTATGACTTATCTGAACTTTGAGTTGCAATTAACTTTTTTAGATTTTTATTCCGTGGCATTAACAGGATTCCCTCTTCAAAATATCTTCTTTTATGTCCCTCCATGTTAACTCTAAAATGCATGATTTGCATCCAAAATATTTACAAAATATCTTCTTTTGTGTTCCACAGAAGAAAGAAAGTCATACAGAGTTGGAACAACAAGACGGTGCGCAAATAATGACAGAACTTTCATTTTTGGGTGAACTATCCCTTTAAACGAATGTGTGCATTTTGGTCAAAATCAACTTTCCAAATAAATACATACTAAACTCTAAACTGCATAATTTGCGTCCAGATTAATAAACGCGTGAAACCGAACACGAAAGAAATGTACATCTACTTTGGGACATTTTACAAAAATAAAAGTCTGCAAGTGCTCACAACAGACCCTCATTGGAATTAAGTTATATGAAGCTCTTATTGTCAAGCCACTTTCATTAATCTGGTCCAGTGGTTCAGTTGTGAATTAACCCCAATACCATTTGTCAAGATTGTTAATTGCTTTGTACTCATTGTGCCTTCTGACGTAATCGCAAGCCAGACACGTGTGCTCGGCCCAGAAGTACGCCTTTTTCACCTTAAAGTGTTTACGCCAGTCAAAGTACTTCAGGTAAAGCTCCTCGTTTTTGTCAAGGAACAGGAGATAATCAGCCAGCTCCTTCGGAGACGGGAAGTCATCAACGTGGATGAAAGCATTTCCCTGCACGAAGTTCTGATAGTTCTCCCTTGGTGGTCCGAGCACAACGGGTACGGTGCCAACAGAAAGCGGGTTGTACAATTTCTCAGTGATATAGTCTTTGTGAATCGAGTTCTCGAATGCCAAATAGAATTTACAGCTTGCGATTGTAGGGAAATAGTCCTGGTCGGAAATGTACTCACCAAATGCTTGTCCGTATGCATGAACCTCGATGTGCTTGTAGAGTTCATTGTAGTATTTCACTCTGACGTGATCTGGGTTCCAATTGCTGACGATCCAACAAATCAGCTTGTTCTTGCTTGGCGGCACGAAGTCCTCCTCTCCTTGGGCTGCGACAATCGATCCATAAGGCACTTCTATATCAGCATCCTGCCGATAGTTTAGAGTTAAATTAAACAAGTTTTCAATTCCAGGTAACTGAGATGAATGCGAAGGTGATTCGAAGTTCATCCAAATCCATCTCTGCAACGTGGGCCGATACGCCGGTGGCATGTTGGACAGGTCGCTGGTGATGTCCCTGTGATGTATGACCACGGAGTCGGATTTGTTGTAAAGGTTTCGGTCAGCGGTGATGAAGCAGCCATCGATGCTGAACAAAGAGCTGCAGACATTCAGGTCATAGGTTTCGCCGAAAGGCCAAAGCCAGACCAGGATGGTGGTCTGGTTCTGTTCACTTCGGGTGGAAAGGAGGCTCTTCACTCGGGCTGTGGATGTTTCTGACTCGACCGGGCCTGATAACCAGCTCGTAGATGGTTTGATGTACATTAAAAACAAAGTCACAAAGCATCCTAATAAAAAGATACCAAGCAGTAGGGGTCGTAGGATTCTGTAAGTTGGTGCAGATGGCATACTCTGGCCTTTAAAGGAAATAGATAAAGATCGAAAGGCAAAAAAATAAATAAATTAAAAAAAAAAGTTAAGGGTCATTATATGAAACAGCTGCTTATTAGGTAGAGCTATATTTAATTTTTGACAGGAATGAAAACGAGGCTGTGAGGGACAGAATTACAGTGCATTCAATGGATCGTACTGTTGTTTAACAACACACCGACTGTTCAGTTCATGAAATGTCTTTACAAAAAGACTTTCAGTAGACAAAATCTCCATAAACCAGTTTTGAAAGTTGTGAGTTGGCAAAAATTACATGATCAGTTTAAAGTCATTTCTTTAAGATTCTGAAGTCTTTAAGTTTTGATGAATTGCATTAGCAAGTTAGCAACTGCAAATTCAAGGTCTTATACCATGCATCATTTTGCTCAGAACAACAGTATAAATGCTTGGAAATATGCAATAGCCACCATTATGAAAAACTGACAAATGTAAGCATGTCTTTATATTTTCATTATATTATATTATATTATATTATATTATATTATATTATATTATATTATATTATATTATATTATATTATATTATATTATATTATATTATATTATATTATATTATATTATATTATATTATATTATATTATATTATATTATATTATATTATATTATATTATATTATATTATATTATATTATATTATATTATATTATATATTATAAAATGGCTTATTTTACTAGCAAATCAGTTAGCATAGGAATTAACTGTTGTGTGTATTGCTATTAATTTTACAGACATTGAAGCTGGTAATCTTAACTGCTTTCAACACATGCTCTCTACAAAATGAAAACAAAACGTACAGTAAATTACTGTGCTAATAACAAATCTAACAAATTACAGTTACATAATGAGAGTTAATGACTGTACAAGGCAAATTAATTTGTTTGCGCAGCCCTAAAAAAGCATGAATCTCTATTCAGTTTTCAGAATGAGCACTTTGACATTTTGCAATACATATGTTGAAGTGTCTCATCCATCAGCTGATTATATGTATGCTGCTATAATGAAGATGAACATAAAATCCTAGACTTTATAATAGAGAAGCATTTACATGTCTAGGATGTTTGACTGTACAAGGACACTTCAGATATTAAAATGCTGGCTGGTTTACACATTGAAGTCATGTGATTTATTAAGACAGTAGAATATGTGTGTGTGTGTGTGTGTGTGTGTGTGTGTGTGTGTGTGTGTGTGTGTGTGTGTGTGTGTGCGCGCGCGTGTTTGTTCACTACTCTCTGCTGCATTGTGTGTGTGTGTGTGTGTGTGTGTGTGTGTGTGTGTGTGTGACTAATCAATTAATCACAAGCACAGAGAAATCCAACATAAATGCAAAGTAAATCCTCTTAAAAATTCACCTGACAGATTTGCTGATATCCAGAAGGTAAAATGATTGTATGTTCCAGTTTCTTCTTTTTATTACCAGAAGAATGTCAGTCTTAAAAAAAAGACAGAAAATAGATTACATCACTGTACAATCAATATCAGCTGGTAGATGTCAAGCATTTTAAGGATTAAAGCTGCAGGCTGACTATAAAACTGAATATCAAATAACACTTTGTGTAGGGTGGAAACAAACATTTTAGACTGGGGAACCAAATGAGGAAGTTGAATATTTTGTAACTGAAAACTTCATATTATTGTATCACTGTTCAGAATATAAGGGGAGATAAGCTTCCCTCAGTGTTTCTGGTAGTCCTGGGCCTGTTGAAGGATTGTATCCTCAAAAATAATTCTGGATCATTACCAAGAACATTCAGACAATCAGTTTTACACATGGGAACAGTGCCATCTTCAGGATGTCAACAGATAATAGAACTAAAAGGCCTATTTCCACCAAATTTCCACCATGGCAAGATGTTAAAATGAGCTAACAGTTTTAGGATCTAGAAGCACTAGATTTTGTCCTCTGCATACATTCCCAGAACAGAATCCATAATCTTTTTTTCTTTTTCTTTAATCTATTTTTCTTTGTTCATTGAAAATTGTCATTATTTCCATTATCCTATATTCCTATACTTATAAGGATCTTTCTTAAAACTGCATTCCAAACTGTTCATTCCATGCAAATTCTTCAAAAGCAGACCAATGATTTCAAGAGGCTATTAAAAACCATTAGTATTAAAATATACCGAATAAACATTCAATTAACTTATTTAATAAACTTCAATGGACTGAATAAAGAGCTCAATTAACTGTACAATTTCACTGGGACATCTGCCAATAAAAAACTCTTCACGGCTTATACTTAATAACATCCTTTTCTGTTTAACTGGATGTGCTTATCTGACACATATAAGCAAATTAACAATTGAAGAAATCAATTAACAAACCAGTGAGTCACATATCTTTCACATTCATTAACTTTGACAGTAACACTTCACAGTAAGGTTCCATTTGTTAGATAACAAACTAACAATGAAAAATACTTCTGCTTAATAACATCAAAAGTTGTAGCTGTTAAAATTGTAATGGACTTGAGCTTTAATGAACTAACAATGAATAGTTGTAATGTTAACAAGGATTAATAGATACTACAACAAAATGCATTGCTCGTGGTTAGTTAATGTATTATCAACTAATGCAACCTTATTGTGAAGTGTTACCACTTTTACATGTGCAGGTATGCAGAGTAAAAAGCGTGAAGCAAGCAACGTGACAATAAAAATGACGTTTTCTATATATAATGAAATGATTTGGGATACGCACACGTTACACTACAACACTGATGGTTGAGAAATGAGCTTCGTTTCATCTCTGCAGTATCCATTTGCTATTAATCCACATGAAAGAGCTGTTTAAAAGGTTTATCAGTGCATTTGAGACTCAATCGTCTTATATGAAAGCAAAGCTCTGTAAAAGAGCGGGAACAGATGAGGCTTCTGCATGGGAAATAGATTATACACCTCACATCCAGTACATAATTTAATATAATAGTTGCTAATGCATGATATATTTTTCAAGGTTTACAAACTTTGGGGTGTTTAAAGGTCCCGAGGGGAGGGTCTGGTAATTAGCAAAGTGTTTGGCATTTCATATACTGTTTCTGAATTGCCAACTGTATATTTTTGGCCAGCAATACACATGTGATGCATGATTTTATTAAAGTAAACAAAGGTTGATGAATGTTGCATGCTTGTGTCTCTCTGGGAGTCTTTGAAAAGAGAGGCTTTTTGTTTTAAATGTATTGTGATGTATTTGGGACACAGAGTTGCATGCTGGTAGTTGGCTTCGGTGTTCACGTCTAATAAATAGAAGATGTGGATGAAGGAAGATGAAAAGAAGAAGCATTAAATATGAAGCATTTGTCTAGTTTATTTAGCAGGCTTTACGAATTCGTGTCTGTCCCATCAGTGACATGCTGGTAATATATTTAATGAACACACATCTAAAATCGTTCAGAAAAACATAAATGATACCGTGATACCGTGCAAGGTGATGTGCTTTCGCCAGTGATGCTGAACAAGGTCATCTTAAAACAGACTGTCACACGCATCTGACATATTACTACACGAAATATGGCTATACCTTAAATATGACACGCTCCCTCTCTCTAACATCTCGACTGCTTTGTCTATTTTAAGCAAAACCGCATCGTAGCCATGCAAAAAGGACGCATGAAGCATCCCACGAGAATGATCGTCCCTGAGCTCGTGCCATGTTTAATTATTATAACTCAAAAATCACCCAAGAGATGAATGAAAAAATTATATTTAAAGCCTGAACTCGTGTCGTACAATATATACAAAGCATACAGGTAACCTTTATATCAGTAAATCGTTTGTCTTACCTGTCCATCAGCAAACATCCTTGAGGGAAAGCCACATCATGCGCTTCTTTTATTTACGTCCCACACACCTCGCATATCGGAATGGTGCTGAAAAATCGCCGATGATGGCAATATTCGGAGAGGATGCACCTGAACCCATAGCCTTCGCGTCAGTGCATCACTGCATTTTGCAATGTGTCCACAATGATGACAGACTCAAATCAGGGCTTGCGAGTCAAAACATGTAAGATCCTATGGGTCAGAAAGGGAGAACGCGAACAAGTGCGTCGCTGGAAAGGACGCCATGTAACACCGTGTGATGTGATGTAGAATAATGTCCCCCTCCCCACATGCGCTCGGATACCTTTCCAGTGTCCGTGCTGCTCATATGCATGGATGCAATTATAGATTTAGTGCAGTTAATACATGCAAATGCAAGAATGCAAAGAAATGCATAGAATGGGGAATGAAACATAACAGTGGCGTTAGACTGGATTATGTTTTTACTCATGGATTATTCCTTTGTTCATCCTTGCTGTTTGAATTCAGTGGTTTACAGCCTATTATTTATAAATAAATGCATGGGATGTATGAAAAAAACGTGGTTTAAATAATAAATATGAATTTCCTTTAAAAAAATCTGTTTAATACAATAATTCACACATTCAAAGATGAGTAAATAAGCAATTACATGATCAATTGTTTGAGAAAATTGTTACCACAGGCAATTTGATTATTTAAAGTGCCCAATCAGAATATCTCTGAATGCAATTTGTTGAGTTTAATAAGTCAGTAGACTTATATATTTTCATTTATATATTTATTTATACTTTTATATTTTCATATAAATGAGTAAAAAAGGCATGCAAGTAAAGAATATGCCTAGTTCCTTCATTAAACTTTAGATGGCGCAGACTGATGGGTCTTAACGTAACTGATGATATTCACAGCGTTAAACGACTTGGCACAAGATGATTGGTTCTTGCTGCATACGCAGCCAATGAGCTTGATGCTTTACATTTAAATGGCTGGTTAGCATTCACTCAAGCATTTCCCAGCACGTTTTCAGAGTTCCTCTGAAAATTTCCACCTTCCCCAGCTCCACCTGTATAGATCTGCTACGGGTTATTTTATATGCTATTTGTGCAGCAGCAGTATGTCTTAAATACTCACAACACCGTAATACCATATGCATTGGCAGTAGCAAGTTCCTGAACTTGCTTGTAGCAGCAATAATCTACAACTACAGCAGAAACCAACAGCAGCAGCAGCGTAGCAGATCTATTCCGTCAAGACCAAATACATTAACATTGTAATATCCATTACCATGCTAAAAACTTCAGAAAGTTGTCATGATAGAAATGTCCGCAATTCAAAAACAACAAAATAAACTGTGGCCAAATTTTATATTCCTTGTTGCTGCTCGAATCCATTGCATTCCACGGAAAAATTTTAAATATATTGATAAAATATATGCATATATGTTGAATTAAAATGCAGAACACAATGTTTTTCATTTAAATAATTTATTGTTAATTTAATAACTTCTATTAATATAATAAATAATCAATCAATTAATTAATTAATCAATTGTGATGCCAGAGCAACCATAGGCAATTATGTTGGTCAAACTTTATATTAGGTGTCTTTAATGTTATGCACTTCATTCAAATTTAAAGCATGTGGAACATTTAAAGAATGTTATTGTGTTGTTCTGAGAAAGACAGTTTATGAATATCATATGTGAATCCTGAAAGAATTTTGATCAAACTGTAGTTTAAGATGCATATTTGCACAAAAAAAACATTGTTAAATCAATCTAAATTTTAAGCTAAACAATATTTATAATTTGTGAAATTTACTAGCAATTTCTGAATAAGATTGTTTCTACATATTTTTTTTCAGTGTAGTTAAAACACCTAGTATAAAGTAAAGCTGTTTTATTTACAGCTTCAAGGCAGAATATTTCTGATTGCAGTTTAGCATTAATATTTGAAGAGTTTAATCAGTGAAGTTGTCATATACAGTGGTAAAAGGCATGTAAGTAAAACAAACTGCACACAACTCAAACAGAACAAAATAAAACAAATCATGGCCCTTGTAAGCACTACTTTGGGCAGTATTGCTTTTTCAGGATTAACAATAAAGTAATTAACTTTTCTTTACTCCAGCCATTTCTTCTGCTCCTCACTGAATTTTCTAGCCCATTTTTGCGTTATCTCTAAATAAACTGTAGGTTTATGAGGAAGGTAGTCAAGATACACAGTTTTACCCCATGTCTTTGGGATGGCCTCTTCGATTTGGGTTCCTTCATGCCATTCATTGAATGAAGTTATAGAGATGATCTGTGGCCTTGCCTCCACAGCCGCATTAAAAGAGGTCTCGTAATACTTGCCATTAATGCGGTTCCTTGTATTCTGGGAGTTCCAGGGTCTAATGCTAGTGTCGATATAACCTGGCCCTACACTTGGAACAAATACCAAGTCATTGTAGTCACAGAAAGTTTTAATGGATCTCCAGTTGTGATGTGAGGAGCCATAACTAAAGCCGTTGGTCGCAAAATACGTGTAGAGTCCATCAAATCCAGCAGTCTGTATGTCCTTCTTATGCCTTTCTTCCACAAGAAGAGCAATGAAGATGCCATCATACGGTGTGTTCCTAATTGTCGATAAACCATTTGGCTTTAGAAGTTGTGCCCAAACATCTGGAGTTTGCAAGTAGGAGTCATATACATAATACAGTGGAAGAAATTTGCCATTGCTTGTTTTGTATCTATAAAAAGCAGGATGGTTTCCATATCTGTAAAATACAATGTACAATAAGTGCTATTAAACGCATATCTGTGGATTGATTTTATTTATTTATTATTCCATTGAACTAGAGAACAATTAGAGTGAATGGGTGCCGTCAGAATGAGAGTTTAAACAGCTGATAACAACATCACAATAATCCACACGACTCCAGTTCATCAATTAACGTCCTGTGATGCGGAAAGATTCATGTTTGTAATAAACAAACATTATTTGTAAGAAATTACGTTTTTAACATCAACTCATTGCTTCTGGCTAAAATACGAGTCCTCTATCCATAATATTGTTTCTCCAGTGAAAAGTTGATGTTAAAAATGTCATTTCTTATAAATAATAATGTTTGTTTATTACAAACATGAATCTTTCCGCATCACAGGACGTTAATTGATGTACTGGAGTCGTGTGGATTATTGTGATGTTATTATCAGCTGTTTAAACTCTCATTCTGTCAGCACCCATCCACTGGTGAGCATTTGATGTAATGCTAAAAGTACATTGTCAGCAAATTTTCATTTTTGTATGAAATATTCCTTTAAAATTAACCTAAATTTATAAACGTTGTAAAAGTATTGTCATTGTTAGCTGAAACACATTACTTTTAACTAATGTTAAGAAATTGAAAGTGTTATTTCTTTTTTTATATTTTGTAAGTATGAATGGCTAGAGATTAATGAAATGCATCAAACATACCTCTCCACAATATATTTAATATTTTCACGCATATTTGCATCATCTCGCCCTTTGTATGGTTCAATATGAAAAACAACCTGTCAGAGACAATAAAAAAAATGCATGAGACACAAAAGCAAAGACTATGAATTTCAAACCTCCATCTATATTTATACCACCTTCAACTGATATTTGTCAGCTGCATCCAGAACCAAAGGCAGCAAATTATCAATTTCTTCACCATTGTCGTCATTCATACTACGTGGATACCACGAAACAGCTAGAACACCTGAAACAGGCAAAAATATTCAGTAGATGGAGAAACTATTGTATATGTTTCAAAGAGGCTTCTTACCAACAGCAGCTGTTCTCAGCTGTCGCATGTGTTCCTCTAAAACCAATGGATCTCTGGAGCTGTATGGACCTAGTGCAGGGTAGAAATTGGCCCCAATGTCATCAGGAGGCTGGTGTCGTCCTGATGGATAACCTGAGGCCACTTTGGGGTCCCAGTGTGGTAAGAGTGAATGATCCCAATGAAAATATTTTCCATTAAACTGCGGGTTCCCATACCACACATAGTAGAAGACGTGCACATTGTAATTTGGCTCAGGAAAATCTTGCATTTTGTTCTCCATTCTATCAGCTTTCTCTGCTGGTATCATCTGCACAGGTTTAGCGGATACAACAACGTTGTTATTTTGTTCCGTTTGTCTTGAAGGTGGAATAAATCTTAATGCAAACTGACTGCCAAAATTATTATCCTCAGGGCTCAGAGACTTTAGGATGACTGTTATAATAAACACGGCCCAGGCTAAAACAATAAGTGCACAACATGATTTCCGCCTAAACCGTGCCATTACTCCGGAGGTTGGTTAAAGTCCATTCCCCCGAAGATGTTCAGTCAATGGTGGAACAAATATGTTAATTGAAACCCTCAAGGTTCATTCTTCATCTTCAAGCTTCTACTAGAATAGCTGTAAAAAAAAAAAAAAATAATAATAATAAATAGCTCACTTAAACAAATAGATCAATTTTTAGAGAGATTACTAGTATTTGTTTATATAAATAAAAAATAAATAAACATATAGATAAAACTCACAGTCTGTAAAAAGACAGTACGTCATATAAAGACACGTACATTTAGTTGCACAACTTTATACTAACCATTAACTTTTTACACTAAGTACACATGCAGTAAGATAAAAGGTCAATCTTAATGGCTTGTTATTGCTTTTTTTGAAATGGCTAGAATCTATTTAAACATTCAACATAGCATTTAAATAGTTATTAAATGGAACCTATTAAAATAATCAACACATTATCCATAAAAAATCTATAAATTGTTGTTACAAATTATTCATGTTTTTAGAGCTAAAACAACAACCATTGAACACTTATCACAAAATCTCATGGAAAAGAGGTACAGTTATTTAACTCTGACATGTGTAACTGAGACTGAAATTAAACATTCACATCCCTGTATAATAAATATGCATATGCAAATATATGCAGCGTCATACCTCTGTTGACAGACATCAAGTGATACATATTTTGAATGAAAACAGAATATATCTGACACTTTAATCTAACGCGGAAGTATCAGTATTTTCTTCTGTCTTGTTTATCGGCAATTGTAGATATGAGCGAGTTTTACTGCGATCTACCGGACGGGAGGCAAATTTACAAATCCTACTATAAAGAAGGCTGAACTCATGAATAATAATAAGGTAGCGTTTACGCTCCTCGGCGAACGGCCAATCACGAATCCTGATTAATATTCATGAAGCAGGCATTCTCCATAGTAGCGTTCGTAACTTCGTAGCTCGAAGAG